ACTGAGTAGGATGGAATAATATGGAAGGTGAGTCCTCTGCCTCCTCGCTGCTTTCTTAGGACTCAGTCTTATAAGTCAGATGATGGCACGTTGCAAAAGTCGATGCAGAAATGGATTTTCAGGGGCCTGAACATTGTGGAATAGAATTGCATTTAGGCCCATTTAGATACGTACTAGATGGAGTAGAATCTGGGCTTAGGTTTCTTAGGCATTTTTTTGGAAATCCCAGCCCAATATGATAACTGTACTATCTTTTAGTTACTTCTCTACAGTTCCTTCTATAGTACAACTGCCATAGGGCCATTTAAAATGCTCCACTTATCTTTATCTATAATGCTACCCGGTTTTGCAATTATGTTTGCTTTTGGATGATTTCCTTCCACTTATTTTGTACTCGTTTATATACCTTGATGGAGCATAAAAGATCAGCGCTGTATCTACAAGCCTTTGCTCTTCAGTTTGCAATTAGTTTTCCTCTTCACTCTCTGTCATGGGATTCAACGCATACCCATCTTCACAGAAGACACAGGCATGTAGATAAAGAAGTTGAGAGTTCAGTAATCCACATCTTCGTTACAATTTTGAGCCAGACATCTTGAACCATGCTCTTAGCAGTAGCTTCTGTACAAAGATTGCACTACAATTTTTGCAAAAGCTACAATTTTTCAGAGTGTGTGCTTTTAAAATGATAGAGGAGCAGATTGCTTATGACCAAATGAAGCGTTTTTGTCTTCTCTTCTGGGAGGGCCACCGGGTTGTTTTCCTCCTGCGGTGGAGGATTGAGGACACGGGGTTGGGTAACATTGGGCGTGTCTACATGAATGCATTTACTGAGCAGTAACCCAAAATTACTACATAATACGGGTGCATGCCTACATGTGCATGCCCATACTGCACAGTAAATATGGTGACTTTTGCCAACTTGAGTACACACTGTATGTGTGGCCTGACTTGGGACTAACTTTAGTCCACACACAGAGGTAATGCACTTTAATGCCTGCACATGTAGACATCAGCCTATTCCCACTTACTACTCAGTAACTTACCGTGCTGTAAATTTAAGTCGGCGTAAATGCACGTGTAGACATGCCCATGGCAGCATAGTCAAGTCATACGAGTTATCTGAGGTAAAAGTGAGAAAGCAGGAGCATTTATTTACTGATTATTTTCTGAAATGAGAGAGAGTCACAATGCAGAGAGCGACGGCACCAACTACATCCCTGTTCCTATATAGTCAGCTGCTTTATACGGCAATGTTTCATCAATCATAAATAAATTCAAAGAGATGGGGTGGCGGGGAGCCCCTCAAGTAATTATTCTCCACCTGTTTGTGGACTGGATTTACAGTGGGCAATTTCAGGAGATGTGGCCCTGAGCTTTCTTCAGCTGTGTTTGATGTCTCAAGCTTGCAGACAAAGTAAATAATTTGATCCATTTATGGGACAAATTTAGAGGTCAAAGCTGACAAGCCTTCAAGACCACACAAGTTTCCTTGTCCTGCGGTGAATTGTGGAATGTGTTTGGGAGAAGCCACTACAACTTTCCTCCCCGATGTATTTTTCTCAGCTAAGTTTGTAAGCCTTGCTGTAGCTGTTTTAAGATGTGTTGGCAGCTCATTCCACTTTAAGTACATGTCTTGAAAGTTTGAGGGGATTGATGCTTGAAAGAAGTGGGTATTACACAGTTGGACTGTAGAGATTTCCAGTCTCTACATTCTTGTGGCATCTTAATGACAGTGGTTGTTATATATTTTATGTTAATACAAGAGACATACGTTTTATAGCTAAGACCCAAATTCTGTACTTACACCACTGTCTGCAGTAAGGATGTAAGTCAGCAAAGAATTTGGCCCTCATTTTTTCAGGTAGCTGTAAAGAGTAAAAAAATGAGTAATAGAGCACTTGAGAAAAAGAAGATTCGTAAAGTTGTCCTAATGGTTAGAGTCTATCGATGTGGAGTTCTTACAAGAGAAATTGCAAAAGTCCACTGTTTAAGGTCATTTCAGAGTTGAAAAATTACAGCTGGGTGAGTTTTACCAGGGAGACTACACAAACGCACGCTCAAATGTGTAATTGAATTCACTGAGACAATATATGTAACTCTCCGTTTTCATTTTTCATGAATATTCCAAGCAGCTAAATTTCCTGGCAGAAGTGATCACTGATATAGTGCATTTTAAATGAATGTTGCAGAACATCTCAACTTGGAATCTGTAATCACGGCTAGTTACACTAGACCCATGCTGCTATGAATTATGCTTGTGCAATGAGAAAAAGGGAAAAAGCATATCATGCAACCTGAGCATCCGCTACCCAATGAGCAAGCTAAAGAACAAGCATCAATTACCATAATTTTGAGGGAGAATAAATGTAGGAGAATAAATAAATTCAAAGAAAAAAAGTGAAATTAGCTGAAATGCAAATATGCTCCCAGTTATCCACACCCTGCTCTACTCAAAATAGATATGCCTTTATTGAAATGATTTCCCTAATTTGGAAGAATGAACTCTTACAAAATCCAGAAGTAAATGAGCTCCATATGTTTTTGCCAGCTGCAAGATGTGGGCGTAGGAACTGAGGTCCCTTGGCTTTCCACTGTGCCGGCAGGAGACCCTGGGATCTCCACGGTGCCGCTGTCCTGCTGGGAGGGGAAGGACAAAAGTGTAAGGACTATTGTGATTTTACTTCAACAACATTCAAAATTCACTAGGTCCTTTCCAAACACAGAGGAAGGATTGGTCCCTGTCCACCAAGAGTGTTTAACTGTACATTGTCATCATTATGCCCAGTGGCATCACCTACCATGGTTACAATTTTCAAAATAGTTCAGCTTCCATTGGGGAACCAAAAAGTCATCAGATTTGCAAGGGAGCCCGTCCCAGTAAATGCTTAGAGCTTCTGAAAATAGGGCCATAAGTATTAGCAGGAAGCTGGTGAGTGCTTGGCACCTCTGAAAATTTTGCCCATGTTTGACAGGGTTGGAATTTGGCTGCATGTGGAGGCCAGGCACCTGGACATCTCTGCTTTGGTCTCTTCTGAATCCATGCCATCTTCTCCAGGAAGACGTTACCTGTCCTTAGAAACACGCACCTTGACGACTGACATAACAGGGAATGGGTGCATGAGTGAGTTAAGGTCAGGGGAGCCGGGCAGAGCTAGAAGTGTCATAGCCACCTAACTGAGACTGCTATAGGGATCTTGCAGATGAACTCGGGATTCACATCCATGACATGAAACTGCTTCACCCCAGATGACTTCATTTTAACCAGGCTTCCATAAGGGCTAGAACTAAAATGTGCCCATTGCTCTGCATTGAAGCTATATCACTTCACACAAGTTCCCAATGTCTGTGTTTTCTCTGGGAGGGTAGGTGCTGCTGTGTCACTAGGACTAGGTACCGACATTCAAAATGCCTGAAGCAGGAGCGATCTAAGTTACACGGTGTTCTGGAAGCGGTGTACTTTAGATCAGAAGTGAACAAAATACGCGTTCGCCCTTTGGTGGGGGGTGAAATCTTAGACCAGGTTCTGCCATTTTGAAACCAGTCTGTGCGCGCCAACTTTCTGTTCTGTTATGGGTATGGACCACTTTCCAATCCCTTATACCAGTAAAAGTGTAATGTCTGTCCCTGGCCCAGCTTAACAGGGTGGTTCTTGTTTTAATTAGCTTTTCATGGTGATTGCACCATGGCACCTGCAATCAGTGGCATTCTGGTAAGCACACGTGGATGAATAAGGAGTTCAGTTTGTTGGCAGTTCAAAAAGTTAAAAAAATATGTGTTTTAAGGTCTGACTGATAATGACAGTTCTGGAAATGTTCGGCGAATCTGAAAGGAAAAGATTTTTGGGAGTCAAATGAAACACTTTGGTTCAATACCACTCCATTCCAGCCAGGGAAAACAAGTTGTAATATTTTATAGAAAATGGAAGGAAATGTTGAAACCAAACTCCGTTTGAAACATTGTTGCTGTTTCACTTTAAAAACTGTGGAAACCTAAACATCTCCCTCAGCCTTCCAGGAGTGGGGCTGCGAGCTTTGTTGCAGATGAAAACCTGACAATCTGATGAAATCATCACAGATTTTCAAAGCATTTTGGTTTCTCCAAATCTGTATTTTTTTTCTTGTGCCAAAAAGAAGGGTTTCTGTCAACAACATTGGCCCATTCGAGTCATAAGGAGTTGACAAAGGCGGGATAAGAGAGGGGTGAGCCGTTCCTTCGAGTGGCAGGCACAGTGGCATTGCAGAAGTTGCAATCAGTGCATGGATCAGAAACCCTTTAAGAAGGTCAGGAAGTTTGTCTTTGTCCTTTCTTGCTTACATCAGGTTAGGTCAGAATGGAAAACCCCACTTAAGTGAACAAGAGGGTTGGAGTCATCCAGGTTGCTTTGGTCTTTTGCTTGGCTGTGGACTGATTCAGAAGTCACCCCTTTGGCTCTGCTTGAAAGGAGAGGGGAAAAACAGATGAGGCCTGCTGTCAGATCTGCAGCATTGCATTCCTTCCCGGGAGGGTGAGAGGTGGAGTCAGGTGAAGTGCTTCAGTTCTTCATTGGCTGGGGCCCACAGGTAACTGGAGCCTCCTGCACAACAGTGTGAATAAAGACTGAACCTGAAGGACACCACCTTAAAATGGGCAGAACTTTTCTTCTCCATCTCTGCTACTATTTAAAAAAAAAAAATTCTTATGCATTTTTCAACACACTTTCATTGGTATCTGCTCCTCTCCTTCCTCTTTCTCTTCTGCACCCCCACCCCTCACACATCTTTTTTCTTTCCAAACCTTCTTATTTGCTTCCAGTCTATTTAGCTGGACAAGATAACTGAAAGCAAGACTACAGTCTTAATAAGAGGACTAGTCATTTTCTTCTATGTGTTTGTTTCACTTTCTCTGGAGCCCTATCGAAAAGAGGAGAAAAGAAGAAGAAAAGGAAAAGAAGAAAAGAAAAAGCAGTTTCTGATTTTTTTAATTGACTTCTTATTTTTCTTTTCTGTCTTTCTAGTTATTACAGAGTTGTTCTTTTATTTTATTTTGGTTTAAAGTTAAGTAAAGCTATTACAAGACTGGGACTGTACCTAGTTTATCAAGGGGCAGGTGAGTGAACAGTGCTACAATCTGTTTTGCTATATGTAGAATATTCTGTTATAAGTGATGTGGTTGGGAGCTTTATAAGAAAATACATTTCTTATAAAGAAATACCTAGCTTTATAAGAAAGGTATTAGGAAGGATATTCTGCTGGGAAGGAAATAGGCTGCAACAGGTTTCTTTAGTGTTGCCCACATACCAGCAGCCCTGTTTATTTAGCCATGCTGAACAGCAAGATAGTTGTCCCTTGCTGTTTGCAAACTGATGGCAGTAGTCAGTTCTTGAAAAAGAAAAGCATCAAATATCTTAAGCATTTCTAATGGATGTTCTAAATCCTAGATAATTAATTACTGGATTATTTCTGACAGCAATTGACTTGAGCAGGTATGCAGGTGATAAAAATTTGTTCAGTATTACTTGATTGCAAGGAGAATGTAACCCAGTGAAAATCAGTGGAGTTATTTTAGATTTGAGTTATTCAGTGCAAATACCTACCAAATTAGGCCTATGACCTGAACTGACAGGTATAGATGTTTAGTTTCTTATGTCAGTGGGTAGATTTTTTTTTTGCCTACACTGCTTGTATTATAAGAAGCCTGTAAACCTATTTTAAGATATAGTTTCATAAAAGTGGGTTTTAAAATTTTCCTTCCATTTGTTGTCACAGATAAAATGATGTAATAGCCTACAAAAATCAAAAGTTTGTAAAAATATTAGCCCTCAAGAATACCAGAGCATCGCTTTGTCATCTTTCTTTAAGGAGAAAAAGGTATAAAAACTCATATTGATTTAACCATGTTTGCAAAGTGCGTGGTCATGGAAGGGTATTTATTGCTATATGTTGTCAGTAGTGAAATATTAGATGTGTAACTGGGTCTTTTCTTGACCCATGGGGATTGCTTCTTGATTCTGCTGAGGCAGTGGGCCTTTGGCTTTCCATTTGGGTCTGTTTGTGTTATTCCCACCGGCACTAATGGAAAGGAATGCAGCCGGACCCTCTTAAAGGCTTTAAAAGCTTGGGGTCTTCTTGAGCTCTGCAAATGGCTTTCAGCTATCTCTTTAAAATCACTGCTCTTCGGTGATAACTCAAGTGACCATCCTGGGTTGGCTAAACCCAGTCGCCCGAATCTAAGCCAGTCAGGCATTCATGCATCTCATGAAATTAGATGCAGAGGAGTTTTCCTTTAAAACAGCAGCTCTCTCCAGATTGAAAGGCTTCATATCAGTGACTGCACTGGTACAGGCATGTTCAGAGGATCGCTACAGGGTGCTGCCGTGAAAGCAGCTGAGCAGCGGGAACGGACTGCCGGCAGGAGGCAGATTCCCCTCCCCTTAAGCAAGTAAGGGACTGAGTATCAGGCAAGACACTGTCTCCAAAGGGCCTCATTTCCAGACATATGGACCCTCTGCAGCCTCCACGACACCCAGGAGGAGGGACAGGCACTTGGCCCTCCTGAAAACCTGCTCAGAGAGAGAGCCTACCATTATATGCTTAATTTTAAGCACATGCTTGAGTTCCATAGGCATCAATGAGAATTAAGCCCATGATTAATACTTTCTGGGATCAGGCCTTAGGTCACTGACATTTTGAAGAGCGTGTGCCATCGCCCCAGTAACAATGAACTTTTCATTGGCTTCCTGCCTATTGCTCTCAGCTGTAGCCCACTGAAGACAGTAGAAAGTCAATGGGCTTTGTCTCAGACCCAGCATCTTTCTTTCTATCCCTCCCTAGACAAGCAAATATAGTAACTTTCACTCACTTTAAAGTTCATCTGAGGTGTCCAGTACAATTTCATTTGACCTTTAGTTAAAGGCCCATCACTTGTAAGGAGGCAAAGGACCTTTGCTGTTCCCTTGGGTGGAAGTATGAGACAGGCTTTATTCTGAAGCTTAAATCTCAAGACTTCTCTTTGGGGACCAGTCAAAACCCAGAGGTGTCTCTTTAATTAAAGGTTGCAAAAAAATGATATTGGTAACCTTTAATATACTTTAAATGGGTTATTTAAGGTAGGGAATTAGTTAGCTCTTGGAGGTGGGTCCCTAGAGCAGAGATATCAAGTTTTTAATACTGTTTTTTTTTAAATGGAAGTTTCTTTTGATAAAGTGCCCTTGCTTTTACAATCTGAGCTGTTCCTGAGGGAAGCCAAACAGATTTTGGGCCAGGACAGTCCTTTCTCTAAGCATGCTGCTGCATCCATCGCTGCAAAGAGTTAATGTGCGGGAAGCTGTCGGTAGGTGTTTAGTGCACCCGCGCCTGTTGGAACTTGCCTGATAAAAAGGCATTTCAAAGAAGACAGGATTGCAGGAGGAATTTCAGCTGAAGGGTTCCTGCTTTATCCACCCTTCTCAAGAACTTGCCCCAAAGCTCTTAACATGTCTCAACAGAGCTCAGGGAGAGGCCTCAACACAGCAGCAGAAAGCAGGTTTGTATTTAAAAGGAACGTAAAAAGAACACCCCCCCACCCACCCCAGCCCTACCTCAGCAGCTATGTGATTTAATAACCCACATTTTAGCAAATCACTGCCAGATCCTGCCCCTCAACCCCCCCGCATTTAAATGTCCAAGCCTGTTCATGCTGGATCCCCTGCTCTACCAAAGCTATGGGCTGAGATTTTTCAGAGAGACCTTGGAAAAGGTTTGTGTTTCATGAACACTGGATGCTGACCTCCAGGCAGCTTGGAAAATCTCAGCCACATTCCTGTGATCATCTGCACAGGACACAGCTCGGTTTTCTACTAATGAGATTGGAATAAGGCCCCAATTTCTGCCTCCCTAAGTGAACCCTACCCAGCCGTTTATTATGTGTGAACTTCTCTTTCCCATCTGCTAGCTGGAAGTGGCACCACTTGCCCAACCTTGCCAGGATGGTGTCAGCTTTACAACACTTGAAAAAAAAATCATGTCTTAAATTGAGTTCCTTCAATGAAAGGCATTATGCAAGTGTAAGCTATAGACATCATATTAAAGCTTCCAATATTATCTCTGCAAGGGGTGGCAAAAAAGGGCTGTCCTGTTGGGAGGGGAAGGACAAAAGTGTCAGGACTTTTGTGATTTTACTGCAACAACACCCAGAATTCGCTAGGTGCTTTCTAAGCGCAGAGGAAGGATTGGTCCCTCCAAAGGAGGGCCATCCTCTGAAGGAGAGCAAGTGGCCATCCTCCGAAGGAGAGCAAACGATTTCACCCTGTGGTCCTCTTTTGAAAGCGTCTTTCATTCCATCACTATATTTCTTTTACCTGAGACCTCCTGATATTTTTAACATGCTTTTCTTGTATTTTGAGAACTGCAAACTCTTGTGGGCAGGATCCACGTGGGCTTGCAGAGCTCCTAGCCCAGTGGGATCCTGCATTCTGACTGGAGGCTTGGAGCGCCATCATAATGTGAATAATCAATTTTACTGTTGTGTTAAGGTGTCTGCAAAACCAATGTTATAAGGTAGAAAGAGCCTTTGAATAAGAGATGCTTTTATTTCTGTGTGATCAATTTGTCCTTGACAACAAACCTGCAGCAATCAGACTCCAGTGCCCATATTCAGGATTAATCTGTTTATAACTAAGAGATATTTTTTCCCCCTACCAAGTGTGAAAGGAAGAGTTTGGGCTTAACTAGTTACAGGCTTCTTTCCTGCTGGTAGAGACCATGCACCTGCTGATAGAGATCATGAAGGAAGATGAACACGCAGAAGAAAACTGTATATGCACTTGTTCCTCAGCAAACATAAATTCATAGATTTTTAAACTGGGAAAGACCCTCTTGGCCATTTAGCTGGACCACAATCAAAGCACAGGCCATCAAACCTTGTTAGGGATTCCTGCACCTGGAGCTCTGGTTGAGCTAGTGAAGATGCCTGAAAAAAAGCATGCTGATCTAAGGATTTTCCAGTGATGGAGAAACCCTCACAGGCATTGGTAAGTAGAAGTTGTACCCAGTGGTCAGCTTGTTACAGGCTACAAATAAAAACAGAGAGTTTTGGACTTGCAAATCTCTAGCAAAGAGAATTTACAGCAAAAAAAACCCCTACCTAGGACCTCATTGCAAAATATCATGTCTCCTGCCACGGTCATGCATGTCACATGAACATCCCACTGTACCTGCTATGTTGGGTTTTTTTCTTTTTTATTGGGACATGTTCATATGTTCTATGTTCACTCGATTTTTCTGAGTTAAGAATGATCCATGGATTCTGTTGTCCTTCATTCCACCGGAGTCTGTCTCATACCTAATCAGATTTCAGTGGAGTGAAGCACAAGAGACATGGAGTTGAATCAGCAACGAGAGGAACTACTGCACAACGACTCAAATGAAGGAAGCGCTCCCCATGGAAAACTGGATAAGCAAAGCATCCAGATACCAAGCATGCTAGGAAACTAGCAATGAGAGGAGCAATCCACCCAGCATGTTAATGGCCTGTATAATCTTTGAAAGTCTCCAGAAAAAAAACAAAACAAAACAAAACTATTTTGGAAGTATACTTACAGTCTGCATAATATGTAAAGATTAAAAAGTCCACAAAAGACCACAGTCTGCTTTCTTGAAAGCTTAAATGTCTCATTAGCAGGAAATTAAATTCTAATATAGCTAAATTAGATGTGTAACCCTGTCTCTTTCAGCAATTTTTCTTCCAGGATGGCCCATCCACTAGCAAAACTGGAATGTAACTTTTTTTTTTTTGGTGTGCATACAAAGCTGTGCATTTGCAGAAAGAACCTTCCCTTTGCAATCTACAAGCAACACCTGCTTCCATCTGATTTCCTGGCAGCGATGCCTTCAGAACCTGGCAAAAACTCCATTAAAATTTTAGGCCCATTTATTTTGTAATAAAATGAATGTAAATAAGATTTAAGTTGAGGGTGGTTTCAGATTTTTCAGGCTGCTTGCGAGATAGATCTTTTAAGATGTCAGTGTAAATTCCACAAAGGTTAATGCAGTTAAACATATTTGACACATAAAAATGTCACATCTACCACTAATCATTCACCAGTTGTAATTGCCTTTTCACGGCCCTCATCTCCCTGAGACGGATGCTCAAAAAACGAGGCTTAGCAAATTTAAAACAAAAACAAATAATGTCCCTCCACCATTGGGACATATTATTTGCTTTGATAGATTTAGTGCCGGATTGCAAGGATTTATGGTCCTGTATTATTTCTCTGTTCCTTGCCTAATCTTTCTTTTATTTGACTGATTTTAAAAGCGTTAAAAAAAAAAAAATGCTTGCTGATAGCATTCCTCACAAATCCAAATCACTGCAAGGCATGTGTTGATGTGTTGTTCAGCAACCTAACACCCATTGCTGATGGAACATGATATTGGGTTCTCAGAGTGAAAGCAACTTTGACACTCCTGTTTTTTTGTCACTTTTCCAAAGGTTGGCTCTTAAGCAGAATTTGTACATAGTCCTGGACATCTCACAGGCCCTATATCCCTTCCCCTCCCCATCAAAACTAATTATTGTTAAACACAATCCCAGCTCAGAATTATGTGACCCCAATTCTGGGAACAGAACCGTATTTTCAAACCAGAAATTTTCCTAGTAATGTGTTGGCCTTCTACATTGCAACCGTCAATATATTTAATTAATCTTTTCTTTAAAAAAAGTAACAGATCAAAATATGCCATGCATTTAAAGGTACTTAAGCAGTGCTCAGAACCAACATCATCTTTCTGAGGTAAACTTCTATGCCCCACCACCATCACCACCATAGCTGAGCACCTCCAAATGTAAGGCTTTTCTTCCAACTGTTTAGTTGGTCTAATAAAAGATATCACATCTCCCCAAACTTGCTTGCCTATGCCCTTAGACCAACACAGCTACAACCAACAACCCTCCAAATCTTTAATGCACTTTAAGACTTGACTTTGGCTCTGTGGAGGAAATTACATAGGATTCATGCCTGCGGAGGGGCACAGCTATAGGGCAGCATATTGTCTCCATCACCAGCTACCAGAAAAAAGTTTCTAAGACTCAGTGACACCTGGGGAAGTCCTGGCAGCATAGTTACTTTGGAGCCAGCAGCAGCCGGGAGGCACAGACAATGATAGGGAAATTTACAGCCACCTGCAAGCAAGGGACCCCACCCCAGGTACACAGCTTTCCTACCTCTTCAACTCACCTGGACTCAGCCAGGTGTGGGAGGCACAAAGCAGGACCTGTATCCAGCCTACTCCTCCCCTGAAGTAATGATTCAGGAAAACTCAATGCCCCAAGTCCACCCCTAGCCCTTTCCCAATATTAGAGCCAGCTATCTGTGACCAAATATGACCCTGATCCAGGAAAGCTATGAGCAATACAAATCCTGCACTCTAGCAATACTGCTAGCATAGCATTCTGACTTATGACATCTGATATGACTGCCGGTTTACCCTCTACAAAAAAGTCCTATCAAGTTTAATAAGAATGAGCCAATGAGTTTTCTAGCTTCTACCAAAATCAACCCCCCCTACACAATATTAGGGAATAGAATCCTTTTTAAAGTTATTAAGTATAATTCAAGGGTGGGTACATAATTTAAATCTTTATCTGATAAAGCATGTTTCATCACTAGCTCTCAAGGAAGGCCAATACCATCTCCTTTCAAGAAATGAGGACCCCTGGGTACTGAGAGGTGAAGCGACTCGCCCAAAGGCAACCAGCCAAGCCAGCTAGAAACAGAATTCGGGCCTGCTCAGTCCTAATCTAGTGTGGTATACACAGCCCCACCCTGGTTCCCCAGTGCATAAAGAAACCTTATAAATAATGTGTCCTTTTTTTATTATACTAAAGGATTTTTTTTGAAAGGCTGTTACACATCTCCCTTCAAAAGCACATAGTTTTAGACTTGTGAACAAAATACGAATGTTGTAAAGCACTGCTGTGGTTTACTTTAATCCGCTGGCCTTCTCTGCACAGGTAACTTTTGATCACTTCCAAAAAGAAAGTATTCTACAACTGCGTCATTCAGGCAGCATTTTTCTTCAGGGCATCTCAGCAAAGCTGAGATCTTAAAGAGCCTCCTTGAAGCAGTGTTTTGGTGATGAGTACTGATGGAGGTAACAATACAAAGAGGCAACACATTTTTTTTTCCATTAGCTTTGTACAAAGACAAAATGGCAAAACATAAAGGGTAAATATTAAAGACCAAACATTAGCAGATGAAAGACTTGCAGCTTCCATCACCTTATACATATGGAGTAGCTAGACCTACGACTCTGCTGTGTAGGTAGCAACATGGTTCAGTGGGCAAAACTAGCAACTAGGAATCAGGACTCCTTGGTTCTAGGCTTATTTCTGCCAGAGACCTGGTTCTGTGTAACCTCTGGCCAGTTACTTCACCCTAACCCACTGTATAAAATGGGGATAAGAATATTTACCTTCTTTTGTGAAGCACGTCTGAGATCTGTGGCTGAAAAGCACCGGGTGAGTGGTAAGTAGCAGCATCGCACCAGCGCAAACTACACCACTCTCCATATCAAT